TTTAGCTACTGTATAAACATCGCAATACGACTCCAACCTGCTTCTAAAGATTCCAGTCATTATTTGTAGACAGATGAGGGCCTGTCAACATTCCTCTTTCAACACCGGAGGGGTTGACAACGCAGACATGCTCCTTTGCAACGGCTGCGCGGAATACGGCACATGATCTGAGCGCTTGGAATCTCGCGGAATGAACACAGCCTTGAATTCACAACTTGAAGAGGGCGGATACACGTATACATTATACTCTTGCCGATACTCAGTCTGGCTGCAGCAACCGTGGACTCTGTGCTGAATCGCCACCACAGCCGCAAATGAGCATAACCCTGCCCTGGTCGATTCAACAAGCAGACACCAGCAGGAGCTTCGGCGACTATTCTCCGCCTAAAGATTTGAGAGCAACGCCTCGATGGAAAGATGATAGGCTCATCTGCAAGGCACGAGGGATTCTTCAAAAACCCAGGCGAAAGTTGGTGCCGGTAGTAGCCCTGTGCGAGAGGACATCCTGTTTCCCCACATCGAGACGAGCGCCCAAGATCATGACGAAGAAAATGCCTGCTCCCAGTCTTTACTTGCGCAGGAAAATATGCACGCCGCAAAGCAGCTTCTTGTACAGGCGCCGTCAAGTCATCCGCGCGGGACGTCCGTGGCTCCTGGCCCAAACCTGGCCATGTATCCAGCTCGAGTGAAGTGAATTATGCGAGTGGAATTCTGTGTAAGCACGGGTATCGAGCCCTTTGATATATCCCCTCCGCCCTGCTTGTTTGTGCTAAGACGGTCGACATCCCACTCGCATTCCTCATGCAATCCATTCAGGCGATCTGTCCCCATCCCAAACCCCCAAGTCTGGCAAGCAGAACTGCGTCACATCTTCAAGCAGCATCACCGGCCATGAGTCGCCAAAGAACAGCCTAGCCATCTTCGCCCACCTTCTGCCGCGTTGGGACTGGACAGGAACGAGACCCGCATGCAATGCCGAGAGCGGGTGGACAGCAAGTGTCGTGGAATGCAAGCACAGCGTGGGTAGCAGAGTCATTGACGGAAAAAAAAATCGCCTGATGGGTCTTTGTTCCACGACAATGAACGGCGGAGGAGCGACGTGGGTGCCACGTTGCTGGTGGATTATGATCGTGGACAGGGAAAAGTGCGGCCGTTGCTGCAGGACATACGTCGTTCACGGTGGTGTAAACATCCTGAGGAGCACGGGAAGGACGGCCGAGGCAGTGCAGGTGAAGGGAGGGAAGCCTGGATAATGATTTTTTTTTTATGCACGCATGGTATGTTCATGTATAGAAGGGGGGGGAGGAGAGACACCAAGGCAGGAGAGAAGGATGGAAGAAGAAAAGCTAATTTCGAAAAAGAAAAAAGAATGAAGATTATTTAAGAAAAAATGCCTAGTGATCGAGGGTTGAATTGTCCACTCACACTTTATATCCAATTTATTAATGTGTTGTTTCACAGCCAGCTGCCTAAATTCATGAGTGGTGATGGCCTTGGCTAGGTCTTCGCCAAACGAGTAAAACGTGTACAGCATCGTTTCCCGCTAAGAAGAAAATGGAAAAGGGAAAGGGCGGACAGCGCACATGTGTTGAGACTTGAAGATTAGCGAGAGCAGGAAAAAAAAAACAGCTCGACGGAGACAAGATTCGAACTTGCGCGGGCGAACCCAAATGATTTCTAATCAGTCTCCTTAACCACTCGGACACTCCGCCTTAATGAGCTGACAATCGGTTACTTACAGCGTACTATATAGGTGTGTGCCTTACATTGTCGCGATATAGCGCCCCATTATAGCATCTTCTAGCCAATCCTACGTCCAATCGTCCCGCGCATAAAATTCGGTCTGTGTTGCAAAGATATTACCTAGAAACTACTGAAAAAAAAAAAAGGAACAAGAACAATTAACGCTGGTTCACAGCATTATGGCCGCTACTAAGCGAAGAGTAAAAATAAAAATGGAGTGAAGAAGTCAAAAAAGAATTCGCGGACGCACTGCGCAAATGACAACGACGGAGACAGGATTCGAACCTGCGCGGCCGAAACCACATGATTTCTAGTCAAGCCCATTAACCACTCTGGCACTCCGCCTACATGTTGTCTGTTGAAAAATTTCGCCGCTATTGACAATCAACCCCGTTCTAGAAATTCTCGGCCGCCAAGGCTACCTGGAATCGGCTCAGGTCCCACAAAAAGCCCGCCTGTCTGAAACTCTAAAAGATGCCTCGTGGACATTGTTCACGAACAACTTGCTTGGCATCGTCATCGATGCAGCTTTACTCTTTGCCCGTGGCAGCTTTAGGTCAGATAGTCACTTTGGTTTTGAGGGAAGCATTAAGTCGTTCGGTTCTTTTCTTCCAGTCTGGCATGACTGGACGATGATAAGTCGCCATGCACCTGGGTTGGAATCCCTACCCTGTACAGTGACGGCATTCCGGCAACATGGCAGGTCTGATGAGTTTGGGCGTAACAATGCGCTTGCTTTGCCCTGTTGAAACACTTGATGAGACAGCTACCAATACACACAGGTTTTCCTTGCGGGGACTGGAAGTAACGTGTCCCTGGCATTCGGCAACAATAACGCCGCCATCACCTCGTTCTTTATAATACATGTGCTTCCTTGAGCTCTCGCAATGGCAAGTTACACATGCCCAGGCCATCTACGAAGGTGAGTGGAGCGGCGATCTTGGTTCAGCATACATGCATACATTGTATATGTGTATGTGTGTAGTCAATGTAAGGACAGATCCAACACACCGGGCACATCTGTATTGAGCGTGTAGATGCCGAAACGGGTAGATGGATATCGCGCTCAGTCCGCTTCCTGGCCATGGCGATATCGGACAGGCCAACCGGCGTCAAATGTGGATATCAAATGTCAAGAGCATGGAATCGCATTACGCCCAAAGATGAAGAATCGATTGGCCACTAACTCGATGCACTGTGGCGGATCGATCGACCCGCGCACAAAACTCTCTGGCATGTTTCGGCCGCCCTGGAGCTGGCACGAAATTTCGGACGACGATTCGACTTGTGGAAGACCCTTGATGGCCAGGCCTAGGTTCCCGACATCACGCACATTGCCATGATATGGCATTTGATGCATCCAAACGAGCGCCTTAAGACTTGGGAGACGCTTATTGGCTCGAGTGATTGACTTTACACACGGGAATTGAGCCTGGGCTGCCATTGGCAGGTTTCCCTTGCGCCGCGGTGATGCCGGCGCGTGTGTGCCTGAGGATACAGATGCGGCCCAGAAAGTGCGCTACTAGTCTGAGAAATACGCGAGCAGATAGGGGTTTTTTTCAGAACTGGATTGCTGCCATAGGCGAGCCGAGCCACTGGGACCCCGGAGATGTGCTGCATTCAGTGGCCAACCGCTGGCGAGGAGCACACCGGACACTGTGCGACAAGTGCTTGCTCCCATGTCGCCACGGCGCAATCGTGGGTGCATCTAGCAGCATGTACTGCTAGAGACACTGTGCGGTGGACTGCCTTGGCACTGTCCGGCATCCCGCATTATTGCCTCCACAGTGCGGAGTAGAGTCCCTCAGCTCTCCGGTCTCTTTCCTACCCGTTCACATCGCGACATCTGCTCCACGGCCCAGCGCGCGCGACTCGCTGATGACGGTGACGGTGACGCTGATTCAGACGACCACGGCGACAGCTGCACGACTGCATGTGTAGGCTGCGCAATCGACGAGAAAACACGCATCTCATTGTGCCTGTCCTGGCGTCACGGGCCTCCGAGGCGGATTTGTCCTGATTTTTCGCATTGCTGAGGCACACTCGCCCACGCGCGCGCGCGCGCATATCCAGACTGTGCTGACTCCGACCTAGCGAGCTGGCCGCGGAGAGAAAGTGTGGTGCGTGTGTGAGCACTCGCTGCCAAGAGACTGGAGGCTTTCCCCAGCCCAGCCCAGCCCCCAGCCGGTCGAAACTCTCTGTCCACCTACACATCACACCCTCTTTCCCCATCACCATTCTTTTCTTTCCTTCTTCTCCTCTGCTTCATCTTGGCTCGCACGCGCGGTTGCTCCCCGCCGGAAATCCATCCTTTTACCTTCTGGCGGATCGCGCATTTTATCTCCGACCCTCCCGCGAGCTGTTTCGACTGCCGCGACCTAGTATCAAAACCCCTGCCGCGCCTGGTCGGTCGACCGACCCTCTCGCCCCTCTCACCCACGAACGACGCTACGGGCACGCCTCCTAGGCCTGACGGTATCGCTCGATTCTCTCTTCATTCTTTTGTCTTTCTCCCCCCCCAAAACTTCATCGTCACCCTGGCTTCGGCTTTCAATAGCCTAGCCATCCCCCTTTCTCTCTGCGGGGCTTGTGAGGCAGACTGTCCTCTTTCTTTGTCACCTCCCGCCTGCACCGTCTGCCCCAGACCACCGAATACTCCTCCGTCTGTTTCGCGTCGCGGCCCTACAAGAGCCTGCCCTCAACAATGGCCATGAACCCGAACATGGGCATGGCCAATATGAATGCCATGGGTGGTCCTGTCAGCGGTGCGCCAATTCCTATGATGAACAACGGTGCTATGAATCCGCAGATGGCCGCCGCCGCCGCCGCCGCCGCGAGACAGCTCGATAGCCAGCACGGTGTGCTAAATACATACATCTACGAATACTTCATCCGATACGGCATGTACGACTGTGCTCGATCGCTACTTTCGAGTGACCAGCAAGTCAATGTGTACAAGGATGGCACAAAGGGTGGCAACGCCGCCCTTGGAATCGGTGTCCATGGCGACGATGCCATGGATGCCGATTCCAAGGATGACCTGGACACCAAACTACCCGACGACCTTCCGCCACCTAAGCTGCCCATGCCCACCTCAGACACCTCATTCTTATACGAATGGTTCTGTCTATTCTGGGATGTTTTCAACGCTCAGCGCGGCAAAACTGTCAGTAGCATTGTCAATCAATATGTTGCTCATACTCAGGTAAGGGAAAAGGATTCTTGACGTCTACTTGGTGACCATGTCTCTTCGTATTCGTGGCTTCCTCCTTTTGTCTTTCTGGAAATCTAATCGTAACTCGTCACTAGCAACAAACTCGTTTGAAACAGAACCAGCAGCAAGAGCTTCTTCGGCAAATGCGCCCCGACTTGGCTGCCCAGCAGCAGTATCAGGCTCAAATGATGAGAATGCAGAATGGAAATATGAACATGAACATGAAACAGGGCAACCTTGCGCGTGCTGCCATGGCTAATAACCAGAAGTAAGTGCCGAAATTCTGGATACCACATGCACGGTACATCTCTCGTCCGGATAGAGTCTGAGACTAATTCGTTTCCTCCCTTTCTCCTTCTTGCTAGTCCACAGATGATGCTTCAACAAGCCAAACAAAATCAGATGCAGCGTGATCCATCCGGTATGGATCCGAATCGCGACCGCCCCTCATCGCCCGCATCCGGCGAGAATGCCCCTTCACCATCGAAGCGACCTCGCATCGACGGAGCACCCTTTAACCCAAATCAACCCGGCGGCATGGTTGCCAATGGACGACCTGGTCCAGGCATGCCTGGGCAGCAGATGCAGCCCAACCCATCCATGGCTGCAGCGGCTGCGCACCGGCTGCTTAATACCCATGGTATCGATCCAAACGGACTCACTTCACAACAGCTTCATCATTTCATCAATGCTCCACCTGCAGCTCAGCAAAAGTCCATCGCAACGTATTCCCAGAACTTGCAGCAACACCATGGGACGCAGATGGGGAATAAGCAGGTGCCCAATGTGGGCGGCCAGCAGAGCCAGGGTTCTCCCATGATGGCACAAGGCCCCGACGGCACGGCTTTAAGCGCCTACTACAACCCTGACGGACAGATGGCTGGTCCTGGAGGAATTCGAACAGGTCATGTTGGCGCTCAGGCGCCTGCTGGCAGCAATCACGCTCTGCAGGACTATCAAATGCAATTGATGCTTCTCGAGCAGCAGAATAAGAAGCGTCTCCTTATGGCCCGCACCGAGCAGGAATCCATCACCGGTATGCCTCGAGAAGGAGGTGGCCCCGGGGTACATGGACAACCCGGACCCAACGGTCATTTACCGGAGACTTCTCCGCAGGCCATGCGACCAGGCGCCTCGCCCAACCCTGCGGAGCAGATGAAGCGCGGAACGCCCCAGATGCACAATTCTGGCATTTCTTCGCCAGTCCCTCCTGAAAATGGCCAGTCTCGGGAGTCGCCCAATCCGGCCATGAATTTCATGGGCAGCCAGGTCGACCCTAATATGGCGCCTCACTTCTTCAAATCGGGTGTTGATGGTACCATGGCCGCCGCTGCTCAGGTGCAGATGAACGGTATGCGCCCACCGAGCTCCCACCCTGGCCAGCCCTTCAACGGCCAGATGAATCCTCAGCAGATGATGGCTGCCCGTCAGATGCAACAAAGCCAGGGACAGCCTGGCCAACAGCCTGGAGGCCAGGGAGCTCCGAGCCAGTGGCAGCAGGCGCCTAATGGCCAAGGACCTCAAGGAATGCCCCAGAATCAGCAGGTACAAGGAACGCCCCAACAACGATCGATGCCTCCGCCATCAGCACCGGTTGTCGCTACCAACAACGTCAACAATCGAACGACTGCTTCTCCTCAGCAGCCAGCGGCCGCTCCTCCCACGCCGAGTCAGTCCACAAAAGCTGCACCTAAGAAGAAGGAAACCAAGGCTGCCAAGGAAAAGGTACAGACTCCGTTACCGATCACCACTATGCGGCTTCCACCAGCCAGTAGCGCTTCATTCTCATCGTTTTGTGCTGTTGTGCTGTCGCGCTGTTGCGCTTTTTATGCTGCTCATGGGAGCTTTTTGATTTCATCTTCTTTTCCTTTGGATACTTGGATGCTGACAATTTTCTCCAGCGTGCTGCAGCAGCCAAGAAGGCTAGTCAAAATGCCAACAACAATGCAGGAGCCACACCAGCCGGAGATAATGCTGGCGGCGATGCAGAGACGACACCAGCCGCGCCGGCCACCCCGGTCAACGCGGCTTTCAATAAAAATGCCCAAAATGGAGGCGCTGGACAATCGACCGCCGGCAACAACCCCGCCTCGGCTACGACGGCTGCTGCATCAGCACCTCGAACGTCTTC